GGGGGGGGGGGGGGGGTGAAAACCACAGAAGCAATTTGCCACTGGACGGCTTGAAATGTTGGGATTCAGGACCCACGCACATTATCATGCAGTGCAGTGACTGGCAATCGTATTGCATTGGCGGCACAGGGGCCTCACAATGATGAGGGGCGGGCGCTGCGATCTGCTGTCCATGCCGGGAAGGAGTGTTTGGATCAGTGCATTGCATGGAGCGGGATGTGGACGACTCCTCGATATACTGAATCGACTCTCATTGTTGTTCGAATACAATGGACGTGGTGGGGATGTCAAGGCAGGCCCCTCGATGTGCTCACTTTGCGGGCGTAAAGCAGGAACCCCCGAAGCAGCACGTGACGCGTCATCGTGTCGGCGCCCGCCGGCTGGCCATAGACCCGCATGACCTCAGGATACGGTGTAAAACATTCTTTTCGAAGCAGCCGGTGCTGCCGGGTCACCTGTGTGGGCTGAGCAGCGGTTGCGGAAGCAACAGATCAGCCGCACGGCGCCTATCTGAGAGATGCTCAACGGATGGTCATCCTTATGTCATCTGGATCATGTAGCGGTATCGTCACAGTAACTTTTGTGGCAGAGGAGGCCCTGGTGGAGCGAGGGAGGCGCTTGTGTGCTCAGTGGCCCTTCCGGCAAAGCGTCCCCCAGTTCCGCGCTTTCGTTCAGTTTCATATCTGCAATCAAAACCGCCTATATTCAAAACGAAACAGCAGTCTACGGGCCAGGCCCGCGCCTTTCATCGCGATGTGCTACGCGACTTGCGGGCCCGTGGCCCCTGCCCCGGCGTCGAACCCACCTGCGGACGCCTTTGTGGATGACGTGGACGCGTTCGCCTGGCTGGATGCGTTGGACGACGACCTGGGGCTGGTGGGCCCTTCCGCGGACGAGTCCGCCGAGAGTTCCCAGATAAAGATGGAGGGTGAGTACGTCGTACATCAGCAGGGACTTCCAGGCCGGCACCGCTACAGGTGCCGGCCAGGCGCTTTTCACGAAACGATGCCGAGCGGCTGTTTGTCCCCGCGTGCTCACGGACGCCCCGCGCCCCTAGCATATTCCCCTGACCTTATGACTGGCGTGCTTTTGCAGGTTCGGGCGCCTCGGTGGCCCAGCAGCAGCAGCAGCAGCAGGTCATGGGCGCCTCGCAGCAGGCAGTTCACCAGCAGGCCGTGTCTTGGCCGATGGCAATGGCGATGGCGCCGTTCCCGCCGATGTACGCAGCGCCCTGGATGGGCATGGCAGGCGCGATGATGGCGCCCCCGCAGATGGTGGCGCCGCCCCCGATGCCGGCGCCCCAGGTCATGGCGCCGCCGCAGGCGGCGCCCGCCGTCGTCGCGCCCAAGGTTGCGGCGCCGCCGCCACCGGCGCCCAAGCCCGCGGTGTATGCGCCGCCGACGCCCGCGCCCCAGGCGCCCGCGTCGTCCTCTGATGTCAGCCTGGGGGAGCCTGCACCGCCCATGAGCAAGGCGCGCAAGGTGCGACCCCCTTCAGGCCCTAGGGTTGTTCCACCTATCCAAGCAACCCGCAGGGCAGCTAGGGGCCGTGCCGCACCCGTGAAAGCGGTCCGCATGGGAATTACATGAGACCTACTAACATGTTGCGCGCCTGCGGCAAAGCCGATGCCGTGCGCACGCCGCCGCGGCATTCTGGCGGGGGGCAGTCCGGGCGCCGCAGCGACCCAGTCCGCTGGGCCAAGCCCCGCTTTTATGTGCTCTCCCGGCGCCCCGTCGCCCCCCTTGGTGTTATGCCCGCAGTCCCAGGCAGAGATGGACGAGGCGATCGAGCGGATCAAGCAGAAGCGGCGCGAGTCGGCGCAGCGCAGCCGCAACCGCCGCGCGGCCTACATGAAGCAGCTCGAGGTGGGCGCGCCGCAGGGCCGCGCAGGGGCTCGCCAGATTGGAACTGCTCGCGCTTTGGACAAAAAACGTCTCCGTTCGGCGCGTTTAAGAGGCGCAGGCCGCGGCATTTGCGGCCGCTGCGCGCGAACCCCCGGTCAATGCGCTGCTGTGTCAGTCCTGGGCCCAAAGTTTGACCCGAGGCGCCGCCCCCCATCCTCCACCCCGCGCCCCGGCGGCTTGTCTGCCGCGCAGAACGAGAACAAGGCGCTGCGCGACGAGGTGTCGCGCCTGCGCGCCGCGCTCGGCGGCGCGGGCCTGCAGGCGCCCTTCAAGCTGCAGGCCGGCCCCGCCGCGGCAGCGGCGCTCGCCGGCTCATCATGAGCTCGGCGTCCAATGCCAAGCCCTTTCCAGGGCGCGCGGTCGGCTGGCCCATGCGCCGAGGTGGCAGCAAGCAACAACAAATGCGACCGGCGGACGGCGGGGCCGGCGGGTACTCTATGAACGGGGCTCGCGGCACGCCGCTGCTACCACATACATACTCGTGTCCTTGCTTGCTTGCCGTAGGACGGCGGGCCCTGGCTCACCCGCCCCCTTCTTGACGCTGTCCGCGCGAACAGCGGCGAGCCGGCTGCGGCCATACTCACGCCCTTGCGGCGCCCCCCGTGCCGCGCAAGCCGCCGTGGCCTGCGCGGCCGGCGGCGCCCGCGCCAGGCCTCGCCACAAACGGAAACAATCTACGCATGCTCTGGACCCGGGGCGCTCCGCGCAAACTACGTACGCTCTGGAAGAACTGCACCCTTTGCCCTCCCCTTCGCGCCCGCGGGGGCGTCCCGGCCCGGCCCGTGCGTGTTGCGCGCCCGGGCGCTCCACATGCGCTCAAGGGGCGCGCGCCCCCAGCCGCGTGCGGGGGCAGCGCCCGCGAGGGTCTTGACCCTGTCGGGCGCCCGCACGGGGCCCGTTTCGCACGTGACTTGCGCAACGTTGGCTGCCGCGGGGAATGCGCGCGCGGCGGAGGATTGGTGGGGCCATCGTTGTTTGGCGGCGCGTAATCTGCGCCGGGCCAAGGCCCCAAGGCTTGCTTGCTTGGATAAACGGTTTGTGCAAACTACGTTTTGGGGCGGCTCGCACCTTGATTAGATGTCGCCCTGACGCACACGAAAGCGCGTGTTGCTGCGGCTCCGGCTGCGGCGCGTGGGGCGCGCGCGCGCTCCTGCTTGCCTGGTTGCGGCGTTGCGCTGGCTCACCCGCCCATTCGGGTGCTCGATCGCTCAGCGCGAGGCCAGGGGCGGTTTGCTGTCGCCTGTCTTATCGCCGGGCGACTGGTGCCCGGCCCGGAGGCGAGCGTGCGCGCGCGCTAGCGCGCGCAGGCTCGCCCTGCATTGATGACGGTTCCGTGAACGCACGCGCAGAGTGCGTATGACGCACGCATGTGTGGTTTCGCGCACGCCAAGGGGGGGCGCACGTCACGAGGCGCGGGGCCCTGACCGTGTTGTGTTTGCGCGTACGACTGCCCTTGTGCACCTCCACCACCTCCCCGACAATGCATTGGCCCCTTACCTCTCACCGAACTTGTCCATACAACTGCCCCATGCACTGAACGCGCGACGTCGCACACGCCCGAGAAGCGGGGCCGCCGCGGCGTCGCTCCTGCCGCGAGGCCGCCGTGGGGCACAGGACCTTGCCCCAACCCCCACCTTCAAACCCCTCCAACCGCTCTGTAGAACACCTTGGTCCCACTACTACTACACGGTAACAACTCACCAGTCGGGTTTTGATCTAGCATGGGTCCTTGGGGGGATGGCGTGTCGGATTCGCCCAAGCACTGGGCAGGATGTGTGTTGCGCATGGCGTGCAAACGGCTGTATCGTGCCACCCAAGTCAGACCCTATCTGGGGGGTTAGGTAATGTCTGCGCGGCGCAAGGCGCATGCCAGAGGTCCGACAATTCGAGCCGAATCGCACTCGCTGCAAGCGCAGCCGCCTCGAGTGACTCCATCATGTGCTGTCCGCTGGGCATCTCCTCACTTGACATCAGTTCAAGCCGCATTTCACATCAAAATTGATATGAGCAGGCGCTTCAACGGCGACGCGATCTGTAGTTATCCCATGCTTTGCTCCGCATGGCACTTCGCAGAAGTTGGACAGAGTTTTCGGTGCTAATATGTCGTGGCTTCGCTTCTTCTGCGCCCAGTGGAACGGCCGGTGCGCGACTGCTGACGCCGTCTCGAAGCCTGCTGGGCCGCGCGCAAAGCACAGCACGCCGCTAAACACGCCGCGCCGCCCGCAGGCCCCTCCGCAGCGCTCACGCGCGCCTGCCACCCCCGCCCCGTCGTCGTCGAGTTCGACGTCTCGCCGGAGCAGGCGCTGCAGCGTTTCGAACTGCACCAGCAGCAGCTGTGCATGCGCATGCACGCGGGGGACGTGCTGAAGGATGCAGGGCTGGAGGTGACAGCGGCGTACCTGCCTTTCTGGATGTTTGACGTCTGCGTCTCAGTGGAGTGCAAGGGCACACTGGGCTTCCGCCCGAAAGCGTGAGTCTCTCGAGTTGCTCGCTATGTGCCTTGCCGCCGCCGCTGGTGTTTGCTTGAGCACGGGACCCGTGGCCCCCGCAGCTGCCGTGCTCGCCCATGCCGCGGCTTCAGCCGCCTGGTGGTTCCAGCCTATTCTTTGCGCATGCCTGGGAACCCTGCTGTGCCGTCCTCGGACCTGCTTCATGGCGGCCGCCACTCCTGCCG